GCGTTCCTTCCCCTTCCCGGCCGGGCCTCCCTCGTGGCAGCCGCGTTTGTAATTTGGTGCTCGAGGTCTGGAGGACCGCCGCCTGGAGCCCAGCCCCTCCCCCCGTGGGCTCCAGGCCTCAGGGCAGCTCTTGGGCACCTCGGCACGGGGAGAGGGGCTCAGTCTTTTATGTAACTGTACTGTTTGCCATTTGCACCCCGAATATCGGCCCGTCTCCAGTGCTTGCCCAGCGGACCGGGAGAGGCTCCTGGTGTGTCCCACCGCCGGGTGTAAGCAGTGGGGCTCCTCCGCGTGCTGCGGTCCTTAGTTCAGGGCTCAGTGGGAATGGACGGACAGATCTGGGGCCCAGACTTCCTTTCACAGCACATTTCCACCTGTGCTTTTGCCAAAATGCTGTTGTTGAGGTCAGCTGTGTGTGTGTGTGTGTGTGTGTGTGTTTAATCGTTGTAAAACAGGTTTTACAAAATATTACACACCCCAGTCCTGCCTGAAGTAATTATGCTGTTTCAAGTTCGGGAATTCATTACTACAGAGCCTCCCTCTTGAGCAAGCATCGTTATTCCCCCTAGGGCCTGATAGAATTCTTGAAGATGATTAAAATGTTAATTCTAGACTGCGTGCATGTGCGTACCAAAGAAGTCCGGCGCAGTGGTGGGGACAGTGCGTTCGAAAAGCTCTTCCCCGGATTTTTGTGTGGAGTGCAGTGGGCATGTCCGGTGCTGGAACACTTTAGTAGCATTCCATCGTTCCTCGCAGTCAGTCACAACATAGTTAGGTGGCGATAAGGCATAGGCCCACTTTTGGTTTGGTGTTCCCAGAGGCAGCACTTCCAAATGGAGCGGCGAATGAGAAAGTAACCTCACTTTCTGTGAGTGATCTCGGTGATTTGATAATTCCTTTCTGAGTATTTTCCCGAAGGTGAGTAATTGCTGTAAGCTGTATTGGCAGTCGGAGGGAATTAGTGGAGCGGTTCCCACTTTTCAAAGTGACCCATGATTTCAGTGGGGTAGGCAAGTGTAACAGTAGCCATAGAGAATTCTTTAAACAAAGTCTCTTCAAGCAGTGGATCATAACTTAAATGCTTTCTCTTCAAAATAGTATTTCTCACTTTAGATCTTTTCAGGGACCATTTATTCCCTAATTTAGAGAAAGAAGTGGTATCAGAAAATGCATAGTAACTTTAATTTGTGCAGTTGTATTTGCACAGTTGTTTGTTTGTCCAGAAGAGATTGGGCCCTGGATGTAACCTGAAAGTATGTTCTTTTTTGGAAGGGAGAGGGAGAGAGAGATAGAAACATCAATGATGAGAAAGAATCATTGATCTGCTGCCTCCTGCACACCCCTACTGGGGATGAGCCCACAACCGGGGCCTGTGCCCTTGACCGGAATTGAACCTGGGACCCTTCAGTCCTTAGGCCAATGCTCTATGCACTGAACCAAACTGGCTAATGTTTTTTTTTTTTTTAAGAAAAATCACAATAGAAACTTGTGTTAGTATATGTGAAGAGAATAAGGGAAAATGTGGATCATTTAGTATAGAGGAATTACTGTGTAGCAGCTGCTGTACTAGGTGAAGAGGACTTGCAGAAGGAAAAGGCAGTGCCCCTGCCTTCAGAGTGGTAAGACTCTTATTTGAGTTGTCAACAAGTACAGTATGTTTTTAAGATTGCTTTAATTGTAGAAAGTATGGGGTACAGTGAGTGTAGAAAGGAAAAGGAGGTAGTGGTCAATTTCTTAAGAGTAAAGACATTGAGGAAGGGAACAATAGTAAGGAAAAAGTATATTTAGGAGGGATGAAAACATTTAAGTATACAGGCATAGAAAGTACACAGACAGCTAGGCATTTAGGTAGAAGGAACAGTGTGAGCCAAGAAGCACAGGAGTCTAAACTTACATAATGAATTGGCTCTGCAAGACATGAAATTGGGGAGCTAGGCAGAACCAAATTATGGATAGTCTTGCATACAGTTGAAGTGATTTCAACTTTACTTTGTAAGTAAGTGGGGGTTATTGAGACAGGATAAACAAGAGAGGCTTAAGCCAGCACAACCTGTTTTAACCACCTGGTGTGAGTTAAGTATTATATCAGGTTCTTTATACCGTAGGTCCTTAAACTTAGGCATAGGCATGACTGAAGGAAGAAAGGAACTTAAGACAGAGGGAAAGTTGGACTTGATGAGAGAGAGCATGGTACATTTTTACGAATGGAAAGTTGCTCTCTACCGCTATATCATCGGGTTTATTATAAGTTTTGGGTTTATGGTAAGTAGCAGAAGATGAGGCTGCATAGATAAATCCTCAAGTATCTGGCATTCTAAGGGTTCTAGAAATCTTTTCCTATAGATAGTAATAGAGTTTATGGATTTTAATCAGGGGAGAGTCACGATAACGGTTTTATTTAGAAAGATCATTCTTGGTATTGGAGAATATAAATTTCAGAAGGGATAAAGGGAAGATAAGGCAGCAGGCAGAAAGGCTGGTTAGAAGTTTTTGTAATAATTGAGGTGACAGATAAGGGCCTAAACAAAGGTAGTGTCAGTGGAGAAACAGTGGAATAGGTTAATACCACAGATATTTAGAAGGTAGGATTCATAGATTTGGGAAATGAGAAATAATAGGATAAGATGACTTGGATTTTAATTTGGGTGATTGAATAAACAATGGTAAAGTATACTGAGACAGAATTCTGGAAGGGGTCCAGATTTGGGGAGGAACAGTATTTTGCTTTTGAGTATATTGAGTGGAAGTCATTTAGGAAGCATGCAGGTGGAAACCCCTGCTGTAGAGTTGGATGTGTGGGTTTGGAGTACAAGAGAGGTCTTGGTAAGATCATCATCAGGTTATGCATATTGTAAGTGGTTGCTGAAGCCTTTGATGACAATGCATAGGAAGAGCTTACTGATGGAGAATAGTTCTGGAAATAGGACATGGCACAAAAAAACAACAACATGTAAAGCCAGATAGAAGAAGAACTGGGAAAGGAAATGCCAAAGTGTTTCGAGTTGTGGAGAAACCATAAGAAAATGCCATAGAAACCCAAATGGGATCATTTTAAAAGGAAGCTATACTTCATAACCAACTCCAGAAAAGATAAAAATTGAGAAAAGGAAGCTGTACTTCAAATGCTATGAGAACTTTAGTTAAACAAGGATTATGAAGGTTCTATTGAATTTGATAATAGTTTTGTAGCATTCTACTTAATGCTACCAATTGGGAAAGAAGCTAGGTTTCCTTTAATTGGGGGGTCAGAGACGGAAAGCAAATGTAGACTACTTCAAGAATAAGCAAATCTTAGCTGTGAAGGGAAGAATAGAAGGAGGTATTAGAAGGGGGTAATAAAAGGTTAAAGGAGGGATTTTTAACATGGCAAAGACTTGAGACTGCTTTTTTCTAATCGTTTTGTTGATATATAATTAAGATAACATAAAATTTATTCTCTTAAAGTTTACAAATGACTCAGTGGACTGGTCATGGTTCGATTCCAGGTCAGGGCACATGCCCAGGTTTTGGGCTCTGTCCCCAGTAGGGGTTGTGCAGGAGGCAGCCAATCAATGATTCGTCTTCTGCTGCCTGCATCTCACTGCCAGGGGGAGTTAAAAGATAGTGAGATAAAGTTTAGTCTTCAAATATTACTTTACAACTACAGGACCGGTGCACGAATTACTGGGGTGGGGTGTGGGGCTCAGCCTGCACTCTCTCCAATCCAGGACCCCTTGGGGTATGTCTGACTGCCAGTTTAGTCCTGATCCCGGGGAATCGGGGCCAATCGGGCAGGTGGACATCCCTCTCACAATCCGGCCAGCTGACTCCCAACTGCTTCTGCCTGCCTCTGCCATCTTGGAGTGCTTTACTATCAGCTCAGAAGGGGGAAATTAACTCACACTTTAGAAATACACTTATAATTGCAAATTGCAACGTATTGGGGGCCTGTAGCAATTTAGCACCCCCGCCCCCACTGGCCTGGTTGTTCTCTCTGATGTTTTTCTCCTCCCTTCTCTCTGAAATCAATATAAATGTATTTTTAAAAAATAAAGTTTACAATGCAGTGGTTTTTAGTATATTCACTGAGTTGTGCAGCCATCTCCACAGTAAATTTTAGAACATTTTACCCTGAAAGAAAAACTTCTTATTATCAGTCATTCACCATTCCCCCTCTTCCATCCACTAGCAACCACTAATCCACTTTCTGTCTCTCTGGAGTTGCCTACTCTGGACGTTTCACATGATGGCGAACCTTGTGAGCTCGGTGTGTCAGCATTTTGAAAACCCTAACTTAACTCTGGTGCCATGTCACATATAGAAATTTTTTGATATTTGCAACCATAGTAAAACAAAGACTTATATTTTTGATATTTTATATATTTAAATGCCATTTAACAAAGAAAACTAAAAGAAAATGAGTTTACATGTCACCTCTGACACGCGTGTTATAGGTTCGCCATCACTGATACATGTGATCATTTATGACT